GAATCCCCACCTGTCAGTGTCAAGATAAACATGCACAACGATGGTCGCCAAGTGACCCTTCGACGATTGACCGAGGAAGAGGCCGCGGCACAGCGTGAAGCGCGCAGGAGAGAACGCCAGGCCTCTGCGGCGGCGAGGAGGTCAAGGAGAGGCTCAAGTTTCAGCGGGAGTGACAGTGAGGCTATGGGGGCAACTAGTGCTGATCGACGGTGGAGACGCACTGAAGCTCTGGAAGCCGAACAGGCTGCTCAGAATGAAGCTGCTGCCCAAGCTGCTGCCATGCCACACCCGGCCACAGCCGTGACTCCTCAACCACCAACGTCTGTTGCCGGGCTCAGCCCTGCTCCGACGATTCCATATCCTGCTCCACCCGATCCGCACAACGTGCAAACCGGCGCTCCGCAGGCATACCAAGTGCCTCTTCCGCCTCCGCCACCTATTCCTGGATCGGCTAGCAACCTGGGGTATCCAGGTGGAAGTGGTATCACTTCGCCTGGGACGGAGACAAGTGGAGCGACAGAATATGCTAATAATAGGAGAAGGAGGCGGGCAGAACGGGCTCAGGCGAGGTTAGCCAGGGAAGGGAGAACTGGAGGGACCGTGGAGTTTACCTGATGAGGTCTCAGCTGGGTCTGAGGCGCGACGAAGCTTTGGAAAGACATGTATATGGGGGCTGATATGAGAAATGACTGGGGCATTTTCACAGCCTTGTGAGCATTTGGTGTATTCAACTGCACAGAGCGATCTGTGATGTTTGGTCTATGCAAAACCTTTCTGGCATACTTTCCAGCGCTACTGTATATCATAGACTTGGAAAGGATGTCTGACGAGAATGACGAAATGAGAATGCTTGCTTGGACAGTTGTTGGTGAGTCGAGATCGTCCAATTGTAGAGTGCCCGTTTGGGACGGAGATGAACGACTGGGAGGATGACGAAGACATTTCACATCAACATGGAAGTGCCTGGCACACACGCGCATATACACAAAAGTAATCTCGTTACAATTTGAATGATCCCAGCCATCAGGGAAAGTCTTGCTGGCGAGCATATCTACTGTAATTTCTTCTTGGCCACGAACATGGACATGGACATGAATTGACAGATAGTGGGATGGGATGGGATGGGATGCATACTTGTCAACGTCGATCGAGTTCACGGCTAGCATAGCACAGTATAGCCGTCCGTAGACTCTACCGGGTCCTCCTCCAGGAGATTGAAGAATGTCTTACCTGCCTTGCTGACTGACTGGCCACGAGACTGACGGTAGACGATGGATGGCCAGGCTAGGTCAGGCCAGCTTGAGCGTTCCATCGCCGCCCGCGACTGACTGACTGACTGACTGACGAAGATGGCACGCTTAAACAACCCTGAGTATGCATTCATCAATCTCACGACGCTCGAGAATGCGATAATGGGCATTTTGTGGAAGGGGAGAGGGTAGGAGAGCCATGGCATGGAGTGTGAGTCTAGCCTTCACTCCCTGGATTGCCTCTGTCCAGCCGTCACCACGCCGCATATGTATTTGGCTGTTTGAGGAATTGAATGATGGTCCGGGAGAGCTACTACAAACGATTGAGTCATTCACCACCGTCAGAGGGCTGGCTCTTCGGCATACACCGGTGGTCCTGGGCATGTTCTGCTCGATTGGACGAGTGGACGAACGGATGGTGGTTCGGACACAGTAGCAGACACGATGAGGACACTGGAGGCGAGGCAGCGATTCCGCATGTCAACAATGCTACCAGATACCAACCTATAGCAAAAGATATTGTCCAGTTTGGGGCGCCGAGTTTTGCTATGGAGGGAGGGATGGAGGGGATCAGGAATCCGAAGGACTGACTGTACTCGGCAGAGGCACTTGGATTGAAAACTTGTGGCAGGCTGGGTGGTGGTGGTGGTGGTGGAAGGGTTGTTTTTTCCTTGTGAAAGTTTTGGTCAATACTTGGAACTATTTGTCACTGCAGACACTTTTTACTCCGTCAATGGAATCTGATTACCGGCGTCACCCTGCCGGATACGCTTTCCCTTGACCTCGCTAGCATCAGACCCCAACAGTCTCGGAATCGGGTAAACGGTCCATGCCACCATGCCTTTTTATCGAGCAAGAGATATAATGTCCTCTAAATAGATAGGCCGATTCTGGGGATCACGTCGCGGCGATCGATCGAGCATCGCCGACCCATTCACCACTACTCCGAATCTAGTTCTAGTCAGGCAAATGACAAGCAAGACTGGCTCGATTCTCTCTAACATCTCTTTCCGACCGATTAAAAGTTCAACGAGAGATGGGTATCGAGCATTACCGCGTATCGGAAACAGATACACTAGGTATCTGCCTCCCTACCTGCCGACCGACCAACCTATCCAAAGCTAGATTTCAGCAGGGGTCGGAGTGTACCCCTGTGCCATGCCTTCCCGCCTGAGATCACCACCCTCGTCGAACCAAGCATTGCACGAATTATTGCCACTCGCTTTCGGTCCATCTCTCCGGCCGTCCGCCTTGGTGATGTTCCAAGATTCAGAGAAAGAGAAGGGGCCCAGATCAAGTGCAATCAGGCGTGTGACCCGCTCTCGCTGATGCCACAGGCGGTCAGAGTGGGGGATGGCGCTGGTCAACTTCCTTGTGTAACACACCATAAACAAGCGCTGGGAGGTCCGGGGGGGGCCAGCCACATCAGCTCAGGTATGTCCACAGCGGTCTTTGTCGAACGCGTCACGCCTCAGTTGCATGCTGCATGCATGCTGCACACACGACGCTGAAACTCCAGATTTCGCCATGGTCAGAAGAAGCAAGTAAAGGCACTTGAGTTAGGTTTTGGGGCAATCAGGCAAGTCATCGAAGCTCTAACTAGCAACAAAAACGGACCACGATCACCGCTCCCCTCCTGGAACAGAGTTTCAAAACGCTCCCTTTCTCTGCGTTGTTCCCCTCCCCGTCGTTCCGAAGGGCGGAAGCGCAAACGCGCCTGCGTCTGATTCGATGGCGAAAGAGTGGCACACCATGCCTCGATGTCAAACTCCCCGACGGTGGTTGGCCCAGAGAAGAGGGCCTAAGCCAATCCACACTTCATTCCCATTTCCACTTCCATGGCCTCTCTAAACTTAACTCATCTCCTCTCATGCACTCATGCCTTCATTCATGCAGTTCATTCTCATGTACCATCTCTGTCTCTCGCTTCATCTTGCTTCTCACGATACGGTGCGATGTGAGGCCCCCCCACGGTCCCCCCCCGGCGGGGGAGTCGAGAAAGCAATGACAAATGCAATCTTCCTGTCCCTGTTAGCCCCATGGCTTTCATGCATAACCTTGACGAGAGAGCCGGATCGACTAAGATGAGACTTATCCGTTTTGAATGAGGGACGGCCTCGGTGAGACCAATTTGCGTCTGCGACTGCTACTCAGCCTGACGACACTCTTTCCCAACCCCCCCAGTTTTCTCGCTGTGTAAGAGTGTCGTTGTCACGATCTAGGTCTCTCTGTCCTTTTGCTCCATCCACTCCAACCCGAGCAAGATTCCCCCCAAGCTCAAATTGCGGTGAGGGTGCGGGATGCTGGGTTGGACGGGGAAGAGATGGGAAGGGGAAAGGGGGACGGACACAGGCGTGATAGGTCAAGCAAAGCGAGTATGTCCCTTTGCCGATCCTACTACGAGCTCTACGAGGATACGAGGGCGGGCAATATTGGCGGATACTCTGTCACCCGGTCAGTACAAGTGCCATTGCCAGCGCCAGTGCCAGGCACGCCAGGTTCTCGCCAGGTTCAACTCGGAAGGAGTGCTCGTATCAAGCTTCACAGAGGGCACATGCATGCCTGACTGACACCTGGCTTTACTGGAGGGTTCTAACTTTTTGACTTGCGTTTTCGTTTTCGTTTCCGTTTGTGCTTTTGAATCCAGATTCGGAACCAGGGGCCTGCTCTGCTCTGCCCTGCCCTGCCCTGCCCTGCCCTGCCCTGCCCCGCCCTGGCTAGCTACGATCTGAGCGTTCGCTTGCGGAACCGCGCCTTTGAGCATCGAGCATCGAGTATCGAGCATCTTTACCCCTCACATATGAACCCCAAGCACCAGGCACCACGTCCCGGACACTACGAACCATTGCCAGGGACGTACGTGCCAGGCCAAGGAAAAGGTCTCCGGGGAAAAGCACTCACTCTCTCGACTAACTACGGCATTGCTTCGTAGCGTAGGAACAGAATATCACAAGAATTGGAATGAGTGAGTGAGTGAGTGAGTGAGTGAATGAAAGTAGGCAAAACAAAGCCGATAAACGTGCATATATCAATATCAATATCAATACAGATCTCAGTTAGGTAGGTAGGTAGTCAGTCAGTCAGTTAGTCAATCACTCGGGTAGTGAACCATTCGTCATCTCGTCTCTTTTCATCTCATCTCATTGTCAAGACAGTTTTGGCCTGTGCTGTCCTCATCTGTAGCTACATAGCTAGCTAGATACTCGGCTAACTAGCTATTCTCTCTCTCTCTCTCTCTTCCCCTTCTGTGTGGCTAAATACTATTGCCATGGCGTGAGCACTGTGGAAAAACCACAAACATAAAATCACTAAAATCGGGGAAAGACCGGGAGGGTGACAAGCAGCAGTGCCTGATGAGAAAGACCCACATCGCCCCAAAGATGGCGTCAGACGGAGCGGAGTGGTTGAGCTCTTATTGTCCTCGGTATCGTTGAAAAAGGATAAACCGTACATAAACCACAATCAAGTCAAGGATTCGGAACACATGCCTCCTTTCTGTGTAGGTGGGCGAGTGCCACAGATCAGATGCCAATGGCAATATAACCTTTGGGGGGGGGGGTTTTGGGGATAAACACTTTTCCTTCTCTCTGCGCTTTCTTCCATCCTGTTGCTCTCATACGCGGGCCCATTCAGGCACAAACTCATATCTTCCGTCTCAAGAAATAGCAGATGTAGGGAAACGCGCCATTTGTCAATGTCGCTCCGTCCCAGAGGAAGAACAACGTGGTACGTGGTACCTGGCACGTCTCCTCAGGCAGGTCTGCTTTCGGCCAATGCCAACCAGCAGCTTGCTGGCCACGTCGCCCACTGCCGGCTAGACTGCCAGTTGAAGGGATCCTGTACCACGCAGAGTGTTAGTCGTCAATCCAGAGCACCAATCCAAGAGACGAGTAGATACGTACCGATGTTAGCTGGACCGGGAGGTTGCAGGACTGTCCCGTCAGTGGTGGAAGCCGAGGCACAGCTGGTTGATGTGCGGTGTTCCCAGGTGGGATATAGCCCTCTGATTGAGATGGAAGAGAATAGCTCTGGGCCGTCACTTGGTCGACGGCTCGATTGTCCAACGTAGGAGCCATTCTTGGGCAAGCCATGACGGGGGATGGCCTGGTCGCCGAGTGGGGAACAGAGTAGTTCCCCTCCAGGTTGACATTTGGAGAGGGAGCATAACTGTATCCTGCACCAGAGCCAACCGTGCTGCTGGTGAACATGTCGACTGCGATTGGTGGAGGCCCAGCATCCGCTGGTAGAGTTGCTGCCGTATAACCTAGGCCCGTGTTGTCCCCAGCGTAAGAAGGGTATGGGGCTTCAGTGTATCCCGGACCTTGGCTAATCGGATACCCAGCGGGCATCGCGTCCGCGCTTTCCAGTGCCTGTGCAATAAACGAGGTATTGGCCATGGTATCAGGCTGGACGCGGTCTGCACACTCTGCCCGTGGTAGAGTGCCGTTTGGTGCAATAGATGCGTCCTCATTGACATTCAAGCTCTGAGGTTCTTCGGTACCAACCCAGAGGAATGGAGCCAGTTCAAATGGATGGGACCGACCCCTACTATCAGAGACTGGCGGTGCAACTTCCAAAGGAGAGATTGGTACATTCCCAAGTTGAAGTTGGGGAAGACTCGTTGTGAGCCATGGCATTGATGGCACTAGCCCTATGGAAGTTGGCCACCATGGGTTGACACCATGACTGCAATGACAAGGGGCGCCTGGGTGATGAACAGGTTGCGCTGTGTGGCTTGAGGCGCGTTCCGTAGACCAAGTGCCACGGGAGTTACCTGGTCTGAAAGGAGCTTGATCGTAGGACGCATCTGGAATATGAGGCTCTATGAAGCTGTAGTTCCTCTCTGTCAGTGGCATGTGTCGAACGACGTTGACAGAACCTACTTGGGGGGTTTAGAATAGACATAGGAAGGAGGCTGCGAATAAGCCGAAGACGGAGGCATCGGAGCCAGATTCCAGTGAACTTGCTTCTTGGTTTTGTCAGACCTTCGTTTCGTCTCCTGTTGAGCTTCGGTGTCAGTGTCCTCGCGCTCTCTTTTCTTTCCCGACGTTTGACCTCCGAGGTATTCCGAAGACTGGATGGCAGGCGCTGCCATTAGTGACGTGGAAGAGGGCGGAAGCAACCAGTAGCGGAAGCCTCAGCACGGAAAAGCATAGGGAAAGGAGTCAGCACGGGACGGGGGCACACCAAGGTTTATAACAGCGTCGAAATGGTCGTCGTTCATTTCAGGTTCGATCCACTCGAGCACAACCTGCCCGGAGAATTCGATCTCGACATGAAGACTGACCCGAAATTCATCTCAAGCTGTATAGCATTTTAGCCCGGATGCAGCTCTGATTTGTTGACGAGCAAAGGCGAACGTCTAGAATGGACCTGCCATTGCTTTACGCCAACCAGGAGTGGGTTGAGCCACGCGATGAGCACAGCTTGACCGTAAAGCAACGAGGAAGTGACAGATAGCGAGTCCAAGAAACATCTCAGGAGGGCGTTCAATAGTCAGACCCCGCCTGACAGGTCTGCCGACGCAATGATTCTGATTGCCAATGTTAGGCTTTGTGGTCGTTGATGGTGGGCAGCAGGCGCTGGCAGAGGGAAACTAGGGAACGGCCTAGTGCGATGGCGGGTCGCTAAAGGGTCAAAGGTATCCGCTTTTCATTCAGAGGCTGAGGCAGAGCATTTAGTGCCAGGTGACAGCCCTGTAATTCTCGGATCGTGGAGGCTGGCAACGGGTGAACCGTCTGCAAGTTGGATCTCGAATGGTGGTGGCTTCTCGTATGGCTTCATTCATTCGTCGAAAGGTCCGCGTCAACTTGGCGTGAGGGGCTGTTGGCAGGCTGCCAGAAGATCCTACCACCAACCGTTTCGTGAGAGCGGGAGCCGTCGACAACAGGGAAAAAGGAGGGGGGTTTGGCAGGAAAGCCAGCGACCCATCCAGTCGACATGGGTTCACGTTCTCAATCCCCGGCCGCTTGACTTCCCCATAGTTTGCAATGTGAGTTTTGATCAGGGCCAAGGGGGACTTTTCGCTCAAGATACGAACGGAGACGACGCTAGATCTTGGGACGAAGCTTTACATGGGTGGTCGACCTTCGCTCGTTGACGCGCGGATGTAACTCGAGCTTCCCCGGAGTACAGACACTTGTAAGAGGTATTGTCTGCCACGCTCGCTGTGATCAGGCTTGGAAGGCTGTAAGATTGGCCCATAGTGTCAAATGTCCTTGGGGCGGGCAACTGAGGGAGTTAGGCGCCGATCATCCAACAATTCAGACTCGTGAAGATGTAGGAAATTTGAAGCTGGCAAAAAAGCACTGGCCAATAACGAGCGGCGTCTGGAGGTCTCCTCCCTGAGACTGATCTCAATGTGACAGGCAATATTCTGGGAGGGGATCTTTGAAGCAGTAGCGTGGAGATCTCGCTTGTTGTTCCCCTAAAGCCATGCCGCATCGGTTGAACTAGAAACTGCTGTGGCGACTTGAATGGGCTTTGCCTCTTCATTCCCAGCACTGTTCCCGTCGTGTGAAGATCTCAAAGAGCGAATTGGGCAAGTCCGGCGTTTGCAGCCGTTATTCCTTTAGTGACCAAGGACGCCTGTCACTTGCCAGATATTGACGGTAAAACTTTAACAGGTTCAGCTAACCGTATCGCTGCACGGGCCATGTCAAAATTTGTGCGGAGAATAATGGTATCAGCGGATGGTCAGAATCCGACGGCTAGGCGTCGATATCCCTTCTTGACATTGGCACTTGCTAGGTGGCAGGTGTTTCGTCCCGTATTGCGTTGACCTTTGGTGTAGGGCAATGGGTGTCGGCTGTTAGGCGGGAAGAGGCGGGAGTCAACCTCAATGCGTATCCAGACACTGCTTCTCTCCTTAGAGCCATGGCTTGTCGAGGGCAATTCTGGTGGACGCGGGTCCACCGTGGCCTGCTATGACCCCGATTGACACCAGCAAGAGTGGAGAGAGAAGAGACGGTGAATCAGGACAGGGTTGCGGCACTCAAATCTCAGGTTCCAGGATGTCGAGAAATAGGTCTGTGCGCAAGCACAGGAGTTCGAACGCCGGCGCTAGCACCTGGTCAGTGGTTTGCCGCCAACAATCAACTCAAGTCTTTCGCCTCGTTGTCCCAAATAAGCCAATGCCGGCGTTTTCTGCCGCACGGAAGTGGGACTGGAGCTCCTGGAGCTCCTGGACCAGCATGCTCATCTGTTAAGCACAACATTTCCGTGCGCAAGACTGGGGTGTCCTGGTCAAGCACAGCTTCTTTCCCCGTCCAAAAAAGGCATGCAGGAGTGGAACATCCCTGGCGTGAAAGGGAAGGCGGCAAACATGAGAGATCTGGTATGTGGACCCGTTGTCTTAGAGAGGCAATACCCTCGTATCCTGAAAAGGAGATTTCCCAATGCGACCAGGGTAGTTTTCCTGAACCACGCTAGCACAAGTTGTCGATCGTTGATGATGAAGGAGGCAGAGGCCGGAGCCATGGGATGTGCACTCAGCGCAGATAGATTAAGTTTTGGCCCCAAGTAGTTCCAAAGTCGTATTCAGCAGGTCGAACCCCAAACCTGGTTGTAGTCATATGCTTTCATCACTAGCAGGAAGTTTGATTCAGCAGCTAGCAACAGGTCCACCCATGCTCAGGTTATTCTCAGCATCACATGGGTTCTTTCTGTCTGAACTTTCCCTCTGACATGGCGGACTCAAGAAAAGGGCTGGGCCCATACATCGTAGAATTGGCATTGGATGTGGGAAAGTCGAGAAAGATCGTCTCTTTGCCAAAGTGATTGGCATCCACCGGCGTTGGTACTCATCTGAAGCTACTCACCAACTGCTATGTTTCCCTATCCAACTTGATACTTGACGTGCAGTCTGTTCTCGTGGACAGCAGCTGCCAAGCTCCTCGAGCGATCCCCGACAGCAACCAGCAAGCCCTGGGCTTTGGATATGTCTTTATCAGTTCATTCTACCACACCGCAAGATGGTGATTGGCGCTTTTGAGCCTGCTGGTTCTCAATGCGAGAGTATGCAACATCCAATTCGGAAGGAATGTAGTAAAGGCCTCGAGGAGACATTGCAGGTTGATTACCTTTTTGCAAGTGTTTCTCACCGTTTCCCTTACCAGTTCTCAAACAAAATCTCCACGCAGCGGATCAAGCCGTCCTTGGACCGCAAGCTCTAAACTTACAACAGTGTATATCAACATCAGATCCGTTTCTCGGCTGCCTACAGGCTTGTGAATCCGGTGATACCTGGTCACATAAGGGGATGAAACTTCGGCTCGGGGAACCATACGAGAGAAGCACCAGACAGAGAATTTGGTTTGGGCACATGGTGCGTCGACTTATCGTGAATGCCACAACCTCCAACTAAAAGAATCCCACGGGTGTGATCATGTGGACTGGCACCACTGGCCGTGACTGAGTAGTACTTCCTGCCTCTTCTGGGTCCTGGACACGTCTGAAAAGACCATCAACGCACGCATCGTCTTCTAGAATCGCCAATCCTGTATATCCCGTGTGGCTCGCACCCTATCGAGCAGGTATGGTAGGAGATACTTGAGAATCCTGACACTGTGGATGCCTGGGGTATTGTACCATCGGTTGAGGGCAGGAAGTGGCAAGCATGGCATGAATTCGTCTCGGTTCGAGCGAGCTGTGATACGGTCCGATCGAGTTGAGAGGCCGTACATCAACAGAAGGCTGAGAGATAGAGATATCAGGGATGTAGTTCAATGCAAAATTCCGACAATCGAGGAAGTTGTGGACATTGACTGGTGTCATCCAAGCGCAGCGCATTCAAGAACACAAGGTACAACGAACAACGAACCGCAGTTTGTCAGCGGCGGCGGCGTTGTTTGGCTTAGTGGCTGCTTGCCGAGCTCCGGAGACCTTTAGGCGAGGCTGGTGGAATTTAGGGGCTGATAGGTGGGCAGGCGCCTGGGTTCTTGGGACACTAGTGGCTCTTGTGCCGACAGAATCCCGACTGGCTGACGGGTGGCTGTGATCCATGGATGCTGGCAGATTCCAGCAGCCACAGGCTGCGGCAAACAACAACCATGGCTTCGTCATTCCCAAATGGCACAAACTTTCCCATTTTCCCATTCTCCCCCTCCCAGCCTCCCACCTCGTCCCCTCTTAAGCATTTCCTTGACTCATCTTGTTTCGACGCTCTCTTCTGCGAACATTTCCTTCTTGTACAGACCTTCTTTGTTGCGCGTCCTTCGTGTGACGTTTCCGGCGGCTTTGAGAGTCAGCCGGTGTTACACCACGCCTTGCGCGCTTCTCGACTGAACTCCGAGAAGTGCCTTTCGTTCAGCCCTCAAACTTGTTTCATTTCAGTTCAGAGAAGCCGCTGATCTCAGTTGAACCCCCTCTCGAGCCGTACCAATTCCTACCGGAAGTTCAGCATGGCGCCGACGACCCCAGCTTTCGAAGATGTCGAGATGAACTTGAGCATCGATGAATCGCAGTCGTACACCGAACCACCGGCTCGCATAGCTGATCGCTTCCACCGCAAGTCATCTGTCCGGCGGAAGTCCTCCGCGAACTCGTCCCGCCGCAGTTCACTGTCGTCGATCCATTCCCATTCCTCCGCGCTGTCTAGTCATGGCGGACCCCGGAGCACCCATATTGCACAACACCTTCGACGAGCATCCATCATTGAGAGTCGGAAAGCGCGCCTGGCCGACCGTGCCGCTCATGCTGAACAGGTCAGGCTCCGAGCCGCCGCTGCGAAGGCGGCGCAAAGGGCATCTTACAGCGAGGAGAAGGCTTTGGCGGCGCAGGCTGCTCGGGAGAAATTGCTCGCTGAAATTGCAGCCCGCTGTGAGGAAGAAGTAAAACGAGCCAAAAAGATCGCCGAGGAGACGAAGGAGAAAAGGGCCGCGGAATTGGCCAGGCTTAAGGAAGAGATGGCGGAGAAGTATGCAGAGGCAGACAGACGCAGGTCGATATACCAACAAGGCACGCGACGATCCCGAACAACGTCGCTCGCGGCCGTCGAGGAGAAAAAGGTCGCTCCGGCAGCATTGAAGCGCTCGAATCGCGTCTATGCTGCAAAAGTCATTCAGCGATCGTGGCGACGTTACCACGCGAGCAAGG